GCCGGACGGACGGACGGACGGACGAACGGACAGATGGACGGACAGACGGACGGACAAGGCTAGACCCTAAGGAGCTTCGCTCCTAAAAAAAGAATTTGCCTCGGTAGCGAATTTTCGTTTAGGAGTCCCGGATCATCTCCCGGCAGGGGCACTGGAGGTTGAACAACTTTCAAATCGAAGCGCGCTCGCTCGCTCACCCGCCTGCCCGGTACCATTAAATTAGAACCAACGAATAGACCAAACGCGCGTCTAAATGGATACTTCTTTTAGAGAGACGTGCATTTCAGACTGACTTGCGGCGTGCCGAACTTTTTTTTTTTTTTATCTAAATAAATTGTTTGGGAAACCCGCAGAAACCACTGATTCACTCGCGCTCAACTCTCGCATATGGGCGCCATAACGACTCGGGCTTGTTCGATACCGCGCTAGACGACATCACTTTCCTAATGGATTGCTCGCACTATATTAGAATTTGACATTGAATTTGGTGGAAACGTCGAACATACTCGTCCTGGCTAGCGGCGGCTCAAATGATCGACCTGCCTCGGTTGTGTCTCCCGTAGGCCTGTGTTTCCCAAACTGTGGGTCGCGACCCCGACAGATTCAGCACGGTGTCGCGAAGCGGCTCTTAATTTTAAAGAAATGCGACCGTGTCTGCTCTTCGGTGACGTTGATGACAATAAAAGAGCAGGTCGCAGCTCAATCGAGCCGCAACTGAGAGGTGCGGAGCCCAAACTCCGCCCTTGTTTTGAGACAAACCAAGCTCACTTTGGCCATTAGGAAAGGTTACTCCTACTGGCATGCGTGTTTTATTTTTGCGATGGTTTTTTTAGCCGAGCTGATTTAGTCTGACTATGTTAACTGGTAAATAAAATTCCAGCGTTAATTTTGTGTATTACTTTTCATGCACTAAATTCGAAAAGCTTGTGGCATCGCGGAAAGCCTGAGAGGGGTCGCGACGCGTTTTTTTTTTTTTTAATTTTGGGTGGGTTGTGGTGTGGCAGAGAGTGAGGAGCACTGTAGTAAGCTTTATTTTATATACCCTACTAATCAGAAGCGCAGCTATTTTTTTAGGCTGTTTTAGTTATTTTTTTATTTCATGAAATGGGGGGATGGGCAACCGCTTGCGCGTGTAAAATGTTTTGTTTCAATGGTGCGTGTATTCCGTGGGCACACCATATGACAGGCTATTTCTTGAAGACATAACACACAGTTCTTATACATTAAACTTTTCACCCTAACCGTTTCGAGTCGATGATATCCCCATGACTTCGACAGCAGACATGAAAGTGGCGGATTATCAAACAAGCTAGTAAATGGAGAAAGTGCTGTCGTAGAAGATGGGCCAGGGTCGGTTTGTTCTTAATAACCGTTCTCTTCTCCTGTTTCTTTCATGCAATCGGCATCAAACATCAAAGTGTTCACTGCTGCTACAATATACGGCACTTTTCTTATCCGATGTTGCAAAAAGCTGCCTTTCCGCGGGTCCTTCTCTGGTGTTTGAAATGTTTGGCATATGAGATGGAGAATCCGGAAATATAGTTGGTACGCCGTTCTTTGGCCAAGAATGCGCGTCGTGCAGTGCTAACCAGTACGTTTTTATTGTATTCACCCGTCCAGGTTTTTGATAGATAATCAGCTTCGACATGCCTCTTACAGTCACGATCTGTCGCCTGAAGTTGGCGATCTTTTCTTTGTATTGCACGTCGCCAGATGTTCCGATGTACATCTTTAGAAGCAGAAAATAGCAACGACTTCTAGCGACAGCTCTTTTGCCCTCCCTGCATCGAGGAACAAAACGCTTTGCCCATCGCAAGATTCTTAAAGGGTTCGTGAAACGATATCGGGTTGGAATGTTCATGAATTTATCGAGACGTACTCGCACGGACCGCCACTGATTCAGAAACTTCTTCGTCGCGGTGAAATTGCGAGGATCAGAGAACTATTTCTTTCAGTCTCGCCTTCGCAGAGCTTGATGACATAATTGTGGGGTCGAAACCAGCCGCCTGACGACAGTCGAGCACGGCTCGACTCCCGTCACACGAGAATTGCGTGAGCACTCGACTTCGGACCATAAGAATCTGTGCCTGCGATGATGAGAATAGCCGAACTCTAATAATGCCTGGAGCTCAGCGCGCCTTTCATGCTCTGCCGACCTTAGCGCGTGGCTATGATTAACGTTGGCGGCACAGGATAGGCACCAGGCCACGTCGCCGCTTTTTCTGGCTCCAAGTTAAGGGGATGAACGATGTTAATGATTCTCGAATTTATTTGCCGACTGTTATTGCTTAAAAAGAAAAACTAAGGCAAGTTTATTCGTTTGTTAACGTTAGGAAGGGATTCTGAGTAGTATTGAGCGAAAGTATAAAAAGTGTTCCATGGCCCCTTTAAGTAGCATGACGAAATTACTCACCAAACAATATAAAACATGGCAACGAGTGGGTCTCGAGTGACTTCATTTGAACCCCATGCACATATAAAAATGTAGGTATTTTTCCGGCGCAACCTTTTTAAATCGGAAATTTATTAAAAAGACACGCTTAAAGGGGCCCTGCAAGCACTTTTACTGGTTTTGAATTTGCACCGAACCTGAGCGCACTGTATGTAGTAACTTAATGAAACTTTTCTTTTTCTCGAATATCGCTTTATTTTAAAAGTTATAGGCAAATTAAAATTACAAAAACAAGCAAAAAATAACCTCCTTCATGACGTCCTTGGTTGCTTGAGTGGCCGTGAACTAGAGGAGGGGTATAGTGAGCTCAGCGAGCGCTCACGGCTGCCGCACTCTATGTCGACGGCGCGAGAGGGCGCCACTACTAAAGCAGGATCTGGATAGGCTGTATGCAGCGGGCAACCAGAGCGGCTCTCATTGCATTTGCTGCGCGATTAAACACTAATTCGGCATGACACTTCATTGGCCACAAACGACAGCAAGCACGGGGTAAAGATCAGATCAGAATGGGAGCCACTTCGCGCTGCCATACCACGAAACGGCCAAACCGCAATACAAAGCTGCTCGCCGAAGGCCTTCGGAACGCTTGGAGCCGGTCGGATCCTCCAGTCCGTGAACGACCGCAGCGCCGCCGCGTACATCCGGGACCTTTCCGTGTCGGCGCCTGATCCCACTACTCCTCTCTAGTATGCGCCGCCTTTTCCACCGCTTGGTGGCGGGTATGTCAAAGGGTCATTTCTTGTTTCCGTACTTTATAAACTGCATTTGTTTCTTTTCTCATCTAAAATACTGAACAAAAACTACTTCTATAAATAATTGAAACGGTTCGCGCCACTTATATTTTGTATTTCGACTAAAAAGAAGCTTCTAGCGGCTCTGACCAGTAGTAAGCCCAGGACCAAAGACGTCACATTTCGCGCGCTTTCGGTACCGCGGGTCGCCCCCGTCGGTGGAGGAGGTTTCCGCGTTGCCCGGTGAAAATATGATGCACTGATATTTAGTTACTCTCTCCGTGCCCGCTGGCTTGCCCGAACCCCAAGAGACGTGGAAACCGCAAAAAAGGTAGACGCTTAAATATGATTGCAGGGCCCCTTTAATAAAGTCAAAGAAAGGAAGTCCCGGAAATTGTGTGTGTCTCATATCTGATCCGCCAAGCCCCGAGCTTACCGTTAACGCCTTCTGACGGCGCTTGTCAGAGCTGCGAGTGAATCTTCGCGACGCTTGCTTCACGGCGAGACTACACCGTTCAGGCACCTTTCTTCTTTTACATAAACCTCGAGTCGGTCCACCAACGCCGACAGGATAGGGCGGCACACCTTACAGTATCGCCCCACGACACCTATTACACAGACGCGACAGTCCAGTCCCAGTCGGATGTCACTGCCGTTGTAGGCCCCAACTCCACTTCCACACGCCTCCTCAGGGAGGTCTCATCACCAACCACCGCGGAGGTTCAGGCAATCCCAGAAGCCATCAGTCTCCACGATCACTCCACCCCCGCTATAACCGTTCACACCAACTGCCAAGGAGCACTCCGGGAATTGTAATCCCATACGCTGCCGGGCCACATCCACATTGCACTCACCGACTACATGAACACAGTGTTGCGAAGTACTTCAAGTACATTGTCAAGACGTTCTACTTGAAGTAGGCTCAGAAAACTTGTACTTTACTTGAAATACATTCTCCGACTTAAAGTTTTTTTCTTTTTTTTTCCTTTTTTTTTTCTGGTACTTTTCAAGGAAGGTACAACTCCCGGTATATTCCCCAAATTTTGTCTCGGTGAAATCAAGCTCTTTGAAGGACCACACGCTCGCGTCCTTGGCTTTCTCACTACTATACACAACTTCCGAGGTCGAGGACCTCCAAACAACCGTTTGCTCTTCACTGGCTGCGCACGTTCGTCGGATACTCCGGAGGATGAAAAATCATCCTCATTCCCAGGAGGGGGATGAGGAGTCTAACCAAACCAACGACCAAACGACTTAAAACTGAGTTCTTTAACGACCAGGAATTGAGTTGCAAGCAAAGTTTATTCAATTTATCTTTCTCTCTCTCTCTCTTCCACTGTAGTATAGGCGTTTCATTCTTTTTCAGTGAAAAGCGCAGGTGACGAGGAGAAACAACGCTTAATACAAGCTCATAAAGACTGTAGTGACCCAGGGTTAATACAAATGATGCCATCTTTCTTAAAACTAGTTCGTTTTTATGATACATTGTAGCTATTTACCTACATTCATTACAAATAACGAACACCTGTTTCACTGAGTAGCTGTGTCGCCGACATAGGTGATCAAGTTATAAACTGGTAGCTAGGTTGCGGCTACAATTCACCATGTGGTCACTACAGTTCCTTGAATCAGTTAGCCGGATGTTTAACAGACCTTATGGATACCCTGTTAAATCACGACTTATGATTTGAGCGTAAATTCAAAGCACGACTTTACACTCGTATATCGCATTCATAGCCCACTGTCAAGTGCTGAACTCTATACAAGAATATGCAAGAGGCTTACGAAAGATAAGAGTGATGATGTTGAATTCTTACACTTGCCGTTCGTATGATGTCGTCGGACTGGGTGTACATGGAACTGACCAGCGTAGTCACTGCGCCACCCAGGTACAAGATGGCACCAACACCATGGTGCAGGAGATACTGCAATTTCGTTAAAGAAAGAAGTAAGTAAGTAATGTTCCTGCGTTCTGTTTTTTTTTTTGTTTTTTTTTTTTTTGCACACTGCCTATTGCCATCGTCGCTTAAGTGTGCGTGACAGGTTGCACGCCTCAAAGATGGCGGTCTACGTGTGACGCGGCTTAATTACTTTCACTGCGCACCATGGGTGTCATGCAAGGAAGTAGGCATATGTGTATTGCGATCTTTTCTTTTTTTTTTTTTCGGACTACATCTTAGTTATTCTAGGAATGATGAGTGCCAGAAGTAACTAAGGCCGTGAATGATTTTTCATTCATGCTGGTGCCGACCTCAGATGGCACATCAGTAAAACTCTATTAAGGGAACACTAACACCCTCCAAAAACTCATTATTATTTTTTTCTATCTTTTTTGCCAGGCGGTTCAATGTGGTGTGAGAAGACTACCCCTGTCTTTACTGTGCAACAGCGTCACGTATATTTTAATAAAGTAAAAAAAAAATGCAACTGTTCGAAACCGGAAAGGACCGGGAGGGAGAGGAAATGTAGAGAAGGCGAGAGTTGGGGGGGGGGGGGGGGGGGGGGGGGGGCAGGTTATGGGGCTGCACCCGGCCGTGCTTCCTTTTCTTTCTTTTCTTCCTTCGTTTATCTGGCCGAGCGAAGCAGGCGAAGAAACGCGCACGTCGATAGCAAACCGGAAAAGACAAGCAATTCGTGCTTGGCATTTGCGCGTTTTTCAAGCTCTTACCAGTTCGTGTCCGTATGACGAACACGTACTGGTGTTCGTAAGACGAACACGAGGCCAGGGGCTTTATGTTGCACTTTTTGACTCCCATGGCGACTAGGGAGAAGGAAGTGACGTCAACAACGCAGCAAATGCAGATTGGTTTTCATTGGTGAGAGTCGCTGATGACGAATTTCCGCAGAAGAAAACAAAGAAAAAGTGAGCTTTGTTTGTTTTTTGTTTTTTCTGAAGAACTTCGTCATCAGCGATTCTCACCAATCAACATCAAATCTGCGTTTGCTGCGTTGTTGACGTCACTTCCTTCTGTCTAGTCGCCGTGGGAGTCCAGAAAGCGCAACATAGGGCCCCAGGAGAATCGGCGACGACTCGGCCACGTCTTCGTGCAAATCAGCTTGGTGGTCGGGCGCGTCGTACGGAATAAATCCTAAAGGGCTGTTTATACTCCAACCTCGACGAACGCAACGCGCGCCGGCGCAGACCGACGTTCGTCGGCCACTACGTTGCGCCGAGAAGCGCCCGAACGATGGTGTTTACAGTCCAGCGCAGACCAACGCTGGTCTGGCGCGCCCCGACGAACTGCCCCACTTTACGCATGCGCGGCTCCGTGGCAACCGCATCGTCTCTACGCACACAATGGGCGGTAGCTTGCGCCATCTAGTCTAGAGGCAATCGGTCAGTGTGGTTCGTCCTCGTGTTGTCATGTCACGCTTCAAAACAACCATTCGGGGTAGTGGTTAGCAGTTCAAAAACAAGCAAATGATGGTGATAACGAGTGAAAACCAGCATTTATTTTCTCCTAAATGCCACACAAATGTCAACGAAAAAAAAAAGAAAAAAAGAAAGCCCGATAACGTTTGAATTTAGCTGCTTGCAGGTTCACCGGAATCCTGCCAAGCGACTCCGGCGATTTCGCCGGAATGCTTCAATGAAATCTATGCACTCGATATTCCACAGAAACCTCTTCTTGACAGGTAGCCGGTATGTTATCATCATAGTAGACTTTCAGGCTGACTTAAGAAACGGACACCGAAGAGAGCGGTGTCCGTTTCTGAACCTGAAACCTGAAAGAGAACCTGAAACACTCTGTGCATTCTCTGCGCAATTTTCAACATGGCGTCGTATCGCTGAAGTTGCGGGATGGACGGCTGAACAAAGCGGACTAGGCGATGGTGGCGGACGACGGGCGTGGGGCCTCTACTTCAGAACTTTTGTTCGCGACACCGGCGAATCTGTCTAGCTTCGAAAGAGAAATCGTTTATCGATCAAAACAACTAGGATTTATTTCCTACGGCACGCCCGACCACCAAGCTGATTCGCACAAAGACGTCTCCGAGTCGTCAACCTTCTCCTTGCTGAAGACATGGTGTATTCACACGGCGGACAAATTAAGGGAACCAGGTCCGCGGACCGGAGAAATGTGCGTATCACGTGACCTTGACGTCATTAGGGAGACATCCGCAGGCTCTAAATCCAATGGTTACCGTGGACCGAAGTGCGAACTGTGAGCCCGCGCTCGTAGTTTCGGTTGCTGCTTTCGCTGCACGTGCTACCTAACAAGATCAGCATCTCTCAAAGTTGCAACCTTGCGCACAAAGCTTTCGCTGCACTCCAAGCTAAAAAAAGAACCACCAGGCAGCAAACGTCAAGCTGGATTTAGCGTCTGGCCATTTCGCCAGTGAAGAAGACAAAAATAAATGGCCCTAGCGACGAAACGGCGTTCTTTACCCGTATAAGAATTTCTTCAACTGCAGCGACTCCAATACGATCATTACCGAAACTACGATATAAAATGACAACTCTGGCCACTGCATAGAAAGGCAGTGGCTGCTTCTGCATGTATGGGCCTTACACGGCCGGTGAAATCACTGAACACTGACTGTTTCATGTGAACCGTGCTGTTCTATTTGCCCGGTTATATTTGTTTTATAATTTAAAAACAAAAAAGTAGAACGTTGTTTTTAAGAAGAACGATGTATTTTTAAGCTAGAACAGGAAAAGGCAGAAAATAAATGGCCAAATTGCCGAAGATGAGTGCAGTAACCTGAAACCTGAAAACTGAAACCTGAAAAAGAAGGTTCTACCGCGGCCTCCAGTTCGTAGGGTGCAACGGCATGTGCTTCCCCGGGCATGCACAGAAATCGACCGACAAGAGGAGGATCCCTTTGCCGTGAGTAACCCAAAGACGATTTCATGACTTCTTTTTTTACGCGCTCCCTTTCAATTGATGGAACACATCGACTCATATGTGAAACAAGGCTGCCGATGTCTAGCATAGCTATAGCTTTTCGCAGCACCGCTGGCTTTGAACCCGGCCATGACGACACTCTGCATATTTCGCCATTTCTTCGCTGGGGCATGTAACGTTCTACTGAAATGGTTGGTTGTGTTGTTTGCCAGACGTGACATTTGCCTCACTCACGGTGGGCACGTTTCACGGGCCTGGGTTATTGTAGGTTGATGAGGGTGAATGCGGGGAAAGGGAAGGGAAAATATGGTGATGAAGGGGTCCGGGGATGACGAGGGAAGCGTTAGCAAAATAATGACTAAACACGTTTCACGGGCGAAAAAAAAAATGATTAGGGCCGTTAAGACGAACTGTGACATATGTTCAAACAATGTTATACACGACAGAACCCCATAGTGCGCACCAGCAAGCACAAATTAAATAATGAGAGTACTTATATCGACCTAACTATACTTCGTTTCACCCCACGTGCGAGCGAAGGCAAAGCTGGAAGCGCGAGCACGAAAGCTCCGCGCGTTCAGGCTTTGCTCGAGCGCGCGAGCTGGGGAGAAGCGCTAAAAGCGCTGGTCTCGCTCTCTCAGCCCCGGCCCGGCCCGCAGATAAGGCGAAACGCCGTGCGCGACCGAAAGCGTCGCTGTGGTCGGCCTTCCACGATTGGACGAACGCTGACTATGACGTAGGAAAGGGGATTTATCATCGACGGAAATAAGAGGAATGAAAGAACTTTAATTTTGACGGTGTTGGCAGTGTTGCTTTAAGAGCTCAATGATTTCAAGCTTCCACCATGCTATTTACGGACACCATCGAACTTGTTGTTTGCAAGGTAATGACGTAACAAGGGGGAACCATAGGAGGGCGCCACCAAAACATCTCGCCGCTAATAGGCTACCGTTCTAATGTTTCTTACACGTCACAGTCACGGTCTTGAGAGTAGTTCGCACGCGCCCAAAATACAAAACGCAAATATTCTCAGCCGTATGCACGTGGAAGTTGGTCCCTTCAGAAATAATGTAGCTTCGAGCGTGAAAGGAATGTCCAGCCCTCTCAGGCAGTTCAAGAATTCAATTCGTTCGGATGCGTAGTGTTCGCACTTAAAAAATATGTGTTCAATTGTCTCTTGTTGGTCACAGTGTTGGCAATTAGGGCTTGCCGCTTTTCCAATCCGGTACAAGTTAACGTTTGTATAAGCGGAATCTGATCTAAGACGGTGAAGAAGGGAAGCAAACTTGCGTGTTAAGCCCCGCGTACATGCCAGGGGAGGCGGGTCATGCGCTGCAATTCTTGAAACCGGATGTCTATGCTGTATCCAGGTTTGGATTGATAGTTTTGAGTCAGTCTGGGTCGGAAGCTGTAAAGTAGCAGTAGGTAGGAGCAGAGCGTTGGAAGCCAGTTGGTCCGCCTTTTCATTTGCCAAGTATGCTAACATGTGAAGGTATCCATTGCACTCGAATGTTACAGCCTCGGAAAACAAGTAGACGTCCCAAGTTAAATATCTCACGAGTAATGTTGGCATTAACGCCTCTACCACTTCGAATGCTTTGCACTGCACACTGGGAGTCCGTTGCGAGCAGCCAGTTTTCTAGTGGCCTTTTCAAGATATAAAGAAGAGCTGCGTGAATTCCACAAAGCTCGGCCGTAGTCGATGAAACAGCGTGATCAAGCCGTCCTGACCAGGAATGGTGTTCTGATGGGATATGGTATGCCGCAGACGCGGAATCGTTAATGAGATTAACAGAGCCATTAGGGAATATGATCTTAAATGACGCGTGGCGGGACTGCGCGACGTCTTCCGTCAAGGCGCGGCTGACCAGCGAGGAATGCCGTGATTTTCCATGAAAGCCAGGGATGTCATCATATACGGTGAATGGATGCTCACTCCACGGTGAATCGGCTGGAGAACGCTGAACAGCTGGTGTAGATCCGAGCGCGTCTATCAAAGTGTTGCAGTGTCTGCCATAATGAGAACAATGCCGCCGTTGGATATCCTCGTAAAGAGAACCACCGCTGCTCGACTG